AGATGTACATCAAAAGAGTTATCGCATACAGAGCGTAGAAACAAAAAATCGAAAAATGACCTTGTTCTCATGCTAGATTAGTACAAAGGTTCAAGTCTTTTCGTCATTTTGCTAAATACTGTACTCCTTTGTGAGCCGCAAGAGATACACTTTCACATGTAGATTTAACTCATTTTGAGCATATTTACTAAGTGCTGGTACGTTGTCAACACACCTGTTCTGAATGTTTGTCGCAAAGAGAATTGCTGTTTTATGGCCGCCAACGTTTGTCAAAACATGGCGTCTTTGCTAGATCTGGTGTGGCATCTTAACCAACTGTGCTAACAATCGCCACCGTGTGTTTCCGACATGTTATTGTTTGTATCGTGTTTTCGACTAAAGCTTTATGGCCCGTCTTGGTTGACAAAGATATTGGTGTCATAATGATTTGAAAAGTACAAAACATTCATTTCAATCGCAGTTCTTGTCTGACTATTGAGTCTTTCTTTGAAGTGTCCTAATATTTTGTAGCGGGGTTTTCTTTTTCATCGATCAGTAACGCAGATTTAGCCTGTAATATTTGGACTCTTATTTACACACTGAGCCTTCGAAGAATGAGAGTTGTTTAACAAACCTTTCTTGGCAGGTATTGCATATTATTTAGCAACAAGCTGGCGCGAATTTTGAGAGTTCTTAGATTGCTTTTATCATCTAAACGTTTGTAGTTTGCCAAGAAAACAATTGAAGACAGGTTCCGATTAGACTAGTATGAGCGTTTTTATGCACCATTATGTAGGCTGGACATGCTAAGAAATAAAATATTGTATTGGATAGAATTCAAGCTTTATCTAGTTCCAACATTTTCATGCAAGATTGTTTGATTATCTAGCTAATTTTTGGCTAATCCAATGTGATTTGGGATACCAATAATCTTTGATCGTTTACGAAGGGCGTAAGCGATAAATCCTCAAGTGTATTCCGTCTAAAACCAACAAATTACGATAGATTTTCTTAAATCGTCCAAGGATTATTGTGCAGCAAATTGAAGTATGAACGATAACTGGATGGTGCTGTGTCAGGTTAATGTTTGAAACCCTGCAGGCTCCACCAAAGATGCCACTGGTCCTCTCATTCATTTGATACGTGTCGCGTTCCTCAGTGTTATCCAAGTTTATTTTAGAATCTGTTAACTTTCTTTGACTTCGTTAATGTGTGTACCTGTTGTATCAGTGCGTCGTGAGTTAGTGCATGATCACACAGTTTCGTTTCAGGCATCTTCCTAAGCGATTTTGGTACCTAAATAGATTAAAAGCTCTTAAGTCCATTAACGAAGATTGGTTACATGTGTTTTTGTTTATCATACCGGCAAGAAAGAGAGAGTTCTTGTCAAGATTATCTCTAATTCAACTTATGCCTGTCGCAGGCGGAATTTTTAAGCAAAATTACACCACACAGATTTGTAAGAGAAAATGCTCAGCTATACGTGCCTCGGCTTTGTAGACCCCTATGTGGGTATCTCGGCCTCAAAGTTGTAAGATTTCCGTATAAAAACTTGATTTGGACGCATTCATTACTTCCAGATGAAGCTATTCCACTGTAGATAACTCATTATTTCATATTTTATCACGAAGACTCTTTTCCTGCAGGCCATGTGGGGTCATTAGGTGGCTGTTGTTATGTGCATCTGCATACCATGATAATGATCGAATTGGTGAGACAAGAGGGCAACTGCACGAAGACGGAAATCTGCCTTATGTGACTTGTGGCCGGATTCTGGTGAAAAAACAAATAAAGCAAACTAAAATGCCATGCCACACGAATGTGTCCATTGTTAGATCTCCTGATTAACTGGATCAAACAAGATCGTTGAAGTTATTTATCACGAACCCTCTCCGCATGAAAGGCGAACTAAATGTTGCGATAAATAAGGTTTGGTAGTCAGTTTGCGTGATTATAATCTAGATTTTCACTAATTAATTGTGCTAGATGGGTTTCACCGGAAAACCAAATCACCAATATCCCAAAATGAGTTGTGGAACTGTTATCTCGTTTTGATTAATCACTACATTAATGACTGGGTAAAATTCCGTGAAACGCAAAAGTGATAACTAGCTGGGCACAGTGCAATGTTAAAGTCACGTTTCCTCAGGCTCGCTGTAGAAATAATAAAAGCAAGGGTACGGGTCATTTTCTTCTGGCAGGACAAGAGTTAACACGATGGCTGATTAGAACGTCCATCTTTCATTGTTTGTCAACTGAAACAACAGCAAAGTAAACAATATCTTAAGAATATATCAATCTTAGCTGAAAGTTCATATTGACGACCTTACACGAGTCTGATCGTGCTATTTTGGGCGATTCTATGCGAGTGTCAAATAAACTATAGTTAATGGATTTGGAAAAAACTGAGGAGAAATGTTTCACTTTAAGATTCCAGCAACACTCTGAAAGCTAGAACAACCTTGCACAGGATAATCAACAGAAGCACTTGAAAGTATTGCTCAGTAGCTTTACACTGGATGGTCACACGTAATACCAGAAGGGCGCTTAAAAGCCCCTATGTCCAAAATTAGCAGGATTTAAAAAAACTGCGAAAATTGAACCTTCAGGTCAAATTTGTTTTCAAAACCCTCATCGTTATGCAACCATTTTCAATGCACGAAGGATAATTTTGAACCAGAAGCTCATGATAAAGAGCCACACACAGAGGAGGCTGAAATTAGATTATTGTATGATCATGCTCAATTTTCTACGCAAAAAAAATCTCAAATAGGCATTGGGATTGAGATATATTCCTTTAAACTATTTGGAATGAGTGTCTGTGGACAGTTAGCATCTGTAACAGCAATGAGTTGTAGTTTGCCTAAAAGGAGAATTCCTTTTCAGAAGTATGTTGAGTATGCAGAAGCAAAGAGCCAGTATTTTGCACTCATTCCACCGTCCATGACAGGTATTTTCAACACATTTTCACTTATTCATTCTACACATTTTCAGCAAACTGATCTATCCTAAAATTACTAACTCGAAATTGCCTATGTTTCTTAAAATGCGATTAAGGAAAGGAAAACAGGAAATATTTCAAATTTCTTTGAATGATCCTTCGTTTTGGAAACACTCTTCGACATATTTTGTTCTCTAGGGGCAATTTTGGGGGATTGGTCCATTTTCCTTCTTAACTCGGCATTTATAGATACGTCAATCCCAGAGTTGTTTAAGTTAAATCATCGTGCACTCAGCTAGTGTAACGACTGACCGCAAGGGCACCGAGTTAAGGAATCCGTTTAGATAATATCCGAATAAGGTGGAAATCCAAAACGTTGGGTTGGAGCGATTGAAACACGGTACGGGCAAAATACAGGACAGGAATACTGCTGGGTGGTCTCCCACGAACCCAACAGAAGTAAAGCACGGAACTTCAGCTGTACTGCATTAATGTCAGGGTGTACTGAACTTTTGTGTATCTGATAGCGATTTTGACCACCCGAGATCTGGCTGTGGTGTTTTTGGGTCAATGGTAATTACATTGCACTATTGTTCGCAGTAATAAGCTCTTACATACTAAGAAAATCGCGTAGAGCTGGTTGCTCCTCCTATCAAGAGTGAATTCTTGTATGTGTACATGACGAACATCGAACAACATAACGGCCATATTTTGGGGGCACATGTTGAATTGTGGAAAAATTGGAATGGCGCAGTTGAAGCCCCTGTCAACCAGGGAATCCACTTTAAGTCCATGTGACAACGATACGGGATGCGTTTTCTGCTCCCAAAGTTAAAAATAATATTTTTTTTTCCCTTTGAAACGATATGCTTGCAAGAAATAGATACCTGTCATTTCCGCTGGTAAAAAAATTTGACAAGGAGAATGGTTTAGAAGTTGCACTTTTTTTTCCCTTTTATATCGGTAAAGGAAACTGGACCTTGAAAAATGCGAGTCAATACTTCAGCAGAGCGGTAATGGAAGGCCAAGAGGTTTTCGCTTTGGATGTTACTTAAAAGGGTTAGTTCCCATGGCAAAATGAAGTGGATGAGTGCATTTGCCAGGGTGTGTGTGCTCTCGGTAGATTAGACTTAGAGGCTCGTAACTAGAAAATAGAAAACTGTCGACTCTTTTTGGCATCAAGTGTGAATGGAACCTGTCAGCTTTTCATACTTTGGTTAAGAGTATTTATTGTGCATTCATAGTGTTTCTAATGAACCTATTGTTAGCAGGGTTCAGTCGAAAGGTTTTGAAAGATTAGACCTAAGAAAAGGTTTGCCTGTGTGGGCTCAGCTGCTTGGGAACTTCTTACGATACGTAATATCTTAAGACACTCCATTGTTCTCTTTTGCCGAGTTTATGAAATTTCTCATCCCGCGAAGTCCTGCTGTTACATATGAAAGTTATGTAAAGTATCAAACGGATACATTTTCTGGCATGTTCCAGAATTCGTACAGCAGTCGAATTATTCCAAATCGACTACAAATCATTCCCTGACGTTTTGATACAGCTAGTTTTGTGCCAATGCTCTCTCTCTGTTCCATCTAGAGAACTCTAAAACCACAGATTGTGTGGTGAAATCTAATTACGCTTTGGGGGTGTTGATACGAATATTTATTGACACAACCAGGGAGGGATATTACACATTATTAGGTAGAATGCATGCTGCTTTACATTATGTCAACATGACTACAAAAGTTAATTAGCGCGGCCTTAATGATCACACAAAACATGACCAACAGTCCTTTCTATGTGCCATTTGTCCCTGGGCAAAATTAATTAAACCTTCAAGCGGTTACATCCATCAAAAAGGAATTCTATGTGATGCATTGGGTTGATTTTATTTGTTTTTCAGCATGGGATGTCGACACTTTGTCCACTTTTAATTTGACTTTTCGTCATGGATTAAATCGAGGAAGCATTATTTCACGTTCCATTTGGCAAAACGAAAACGGATTGTTCCTTATAATTAATCCCAGACCTTTATTAATCCCAAAAACATAGGTCCTCTGTCCCATATTACAATAAAAGATAACGAATCTGCGTAAAGAATTACACTTTTATTCAAAGAACTTTACATATTTTAACCATTTATCTACATTTGTTTGTAGCCATGCATTTTCCCGATGTTTAATACTTTTTTGTTGAAGTTTTAGTAAAACATTCTACGTATAATACTAAAATTGTTTAATTTAGAAATCAGAATATCTGTCAATGATTCTTTGTTTTCTTTTTGAAATATAACTTCTCGAGAAGGATTTTAAATTTGTCATTTCAGTTCTCGTTATTAAGTCCTCTGTCGTGGCTCCTTCTGTCTACAACTGATGCTTTGGTTCGTAATCTACTTTTAGTTTACTCTTGTAAGGCTGATTTCGTGCTAAACTAAACATTTTCAAATGAATTTTCATTCGTCCAAAATTTAATATATGTTAAGTCAGTTTTCAACGTCGACAACATATTGCAAGTCCAGACGGACAGCACACAGTGCACGTTTCGTTTAGCAAAACTGTTGCTCGTCTGATTTTAATATCGAAAGCTACATTCACTATACTAATAGCACATGGTTTGGGAATTGCTTCAATTGGCACATTCAAAAGTTCCACAGTCTGTGCCTTGTATAACTTTCAATTTCAGACTCCAAAGTGTAAACGGGCCAGGATTTTCAAACAAGACTTTTCTTTTCCCACATCCGGGGCTAGAGGAGAGCCTTCTAATTTTGTTATTTTTCCAAGTTAATCACTTGCGAATCGCTCGGCATCCATTAACATACCTAAGGGAAAATAAAAATAAAAATACATAATATCAATCAACAGTGGCTTTTAACTCACTGAAAGCAAGTGTTACGATTACAAAGCAAGTCAAAAATAGCCCAAAGAAAAGTCTGGAAGAATTCGGTTTGATCCAAGTTTTATGTTTCAGATTTTGTCAAAGTTAATGAGGTCAGTGATGAAAGAAAACTATATTTCGTGGAAAATAGCGTCGACAACCTGTCAATGTTTTTGGTTCCCTAATCGCGGAATATTATTTTTCGCCTTGTTTCATTATATTTCTCACAGACTAGAAACAATACAAGTTTGTAAAATCGTTGTTCTGTATATATTTTGATACGCTATATTGGGCAGATCGGTAAACGAAAGCTAAAATTTTAATGCCGTCAAACACACTATTTTTGCTGATTACTACGATGTGGAACAGGAACAATAAATGGACTACAGTCCAAAATTTAATTTCATGAAAAATTTCTTGCCAACGTGGAGAACCGCAAAACCAGAATTCGTCTAATTCAACAAATTTTTAAATTAAAACATTTATTACAAAGACGTCCGCGCAATAAACAGGAAATAATTATACTTTGCTCATTTCACAAAGAGAATTTTAATTTAATTTTGTGTTGGAGCCAAAATGTGCGTTATCGTGAAAATACGAGCTTTTTTCATAAATAAAGGAACTCAATTTGAGCTTTGTGGTTTTCTTCATTTTCTAATAGCAGATAAGCGCCGGGAAAAAGAGGAAACTTCGTGTAGAAAGGCGGCGTCGGGCTTGTGAGGTCGGATAATTTACTTCTTTCGCTTTTTCTTTACTCAATTACACGATAGTGTATTTTAGTTTTCTAATCAGCTTCAACTTATTTTCTGTTTGGTTCCGTTTCGAATCATTAATTTTGCTTTTTGCAATTAGGAAGAAAAACACTTTATTCGCGTACTTTCGACGTCGCTTTTGTCGGTATCTAATCAAGCTAAAGTGAAGCTATATAACCATAATATCATGGATTGCGATTCTTTCTTTTTTTTTTCAGTTTAGGCAGGGAAATGTTGTCTTCAGTATTATTTTACCCGTCACACAGCAAGCATAGAACAAAGCTTTTAACATTGAAATGACAAATACTGCTGACAGGCCAGCGAGTTGTGAAAAAGCTCAAAGTGATCAGTTTTCTGAAAATTATTTATGAAGCGATTTGGGGTCCAATTTCGACTAAAAGCAGTGCTAAGGAAAAGATCTTAAAACGTCCATTAATTATTTCCTGTGCATGTAAAGTGCGAGGAAGGTTTTTTGAGTGCTTGGGCATAGAATTACTTAAGCCCATTTAGATTCGAAATAGAATTGATGAAGTTTCTTCTCGCAATTCCGGCCATTGTTCGCGATGTTTTAACAGTTGTATTAATCAACGCTTTTTGTTGAATATTTTGCCATATCTTATCGGCAAGGCAGCAGAACCAATTTAAAGTCTTAATTAATTCGTATTAAAAAGTGTCCCTCTTTGTCTTATCTCTCAGCCTCAGGGCGAAACATAGATTCTAATCTAAGGCACTATTTTCATGGATGCAAATTGCTTGACCGACGTGATGAGTAAATTTTACGAAACAATACCCTTTTCCCAGTCCGAGAATTCAACTTTCAAAAACTCCAAACATAAGTGCGCGCGACGTAATGTTTATATTGCCAGAATATCCGTGTACTTTCACATGATTACCGCGCTAAAAAGCAATACGACAATACAGTGGTAAAATTAAAAACGTGTTTCCTTTTGACGAAAATAGCTAAATGAAATGTCAAAAATTGATGACTTAATATTAGCTTAAGCAAAAAGGTCGCAGATATTAAAACCAAATAAGTATTATTCGTGGAATGAAATTTATTGAAGTCATATTTTGACAGACGGTTGAGCCATCAAAGGGGTTTCTCTCACCGTTTGTTTTGGAGCGTGAAGTTGTTGTTTTAGTAGTCTTGGGTCATCATTCTCACAGAACAGCCTTCCGTTTACGACGTGAAACCGATCACCGGCGACAAGTTGGTTGTGACATGTCGTGCAGTTGAAACAGTCGAGGTGGTAAACTTTTCCCAAAACTTTCATGACAAACTCTGTGGCGGGAATTAACTTGGCGCAGACCGCGCATGCTCCGCTGGAGCCATACAACCTGAAAAGCAATAAGAGCAAATGCCAAATGAGATCGCAGCGCGGATCTGATAACGCAGGATTTAATATGTTCTAAGTAATTAGAGATAAAAGCGTATAAAGCCAATATTTGGAATAGCGATAAATTGTTCTTCACGGGCCCATTCAATTTGTCGCCTTTAATACAGTAGACATGTTAACTCGCCTTGCATGGCATATTAAAAATCTTGTTTATTAAAATGAAAAATACACGTCAAGTGAAATGGGCTGGCTTTTGTGTGCCAATTTCGGAGGGTCTTCGCTATTTTGCCACAGCACTACGAATTAAGGAACAAATGAAGTAAATCGCCTTTCGTAGGTGAAATATTACCACGTTAATGAGTTTTGAGGTTATTTGGAACTCCTAATACCAGGCATTCTCTGTAGCCTTTATAATCTATGTTATTAATTGCACTTTCATAATGGAGGAAATATTACATTGCCTAAAATGTATGCAAAATCCCACTGGTGACACTGAGACAAAATAATGGAGAGAGAAAAAAATATAATAGAAGATAAAGGCCACTTAAGAAGGAATTTCAAAACACGAGGAAACGTGACTGCCGAAAGAAAAGGACGAAACATGGTCAACATTCGATGCGGAAAGCAAAAAATATATATATTGCCTGGCTTGAAACCAGTCAATATACACAAACTTCATCACGACAAATTTAAAGGAACAAAATAGATCATTACATGATGAGCTTGTCACACACAAAATAAAAATAGCCCCAAAACAAACTTAACTTGAAGCAATAAGATAACAAATCGAGCAGAGACGAAAATGAATAAAAGAAAGCTCGCTTACTTTACGTAGTCGGTTTTACAGAGGATCATTCCGCCTTTAGAGTAGCACGACGTACCGACTTCCCCCAATCTTACATTACAACAGGAGCATTTTAGGCAATTAACGTGCCAATACTGGTCCAAAGCGAGCAGAAGAAAGCGATCCAAGATTTTTTCGCCGCATCCTCCGCAGCTTCGAATTCCCCCTTGAAGACATCGACCTGAAGCGAAGAATACGAGCACGAAATTAGAACGAGAGAGAAGTGGGAAAAAAACACCGGCGCGGCAGTTTGCGCTCGCTTTATCGTAAACTCAGCGTTCTTTACAACACGAGAAGGAAGCAAAATCGTCCTTTCCGATTTCTAGGTTGCGCGCCGTCGAAGGAACACGTTTCAATTCAACAGAGCATAAAATGCTTGAACTCACCGTTGTTAGTGTTCGCGTTGTCCATTTTATTTTGCGGCGGAAATTTCAGCAGGCTTTCCTTTACTCGTGCGGTCGCGTTGTTAGCCTTTGTGACACTGAGTCCGAATTAGGCAGGGGTCGTTGTTTGTTAAAACAACTCGGGTAACAGTGTACGTTATTCAAAACATTCATCATATGACAGGGAATTAAGCCTAATCAATTCCACATCAAATCAGCTTCAAACCCTAAATGACCAGGACACAATTAGTTGTCATCAACTAAGAGATGTTGCCATTACGCGCACGATGAAACCGCCCCTGATTGGCTGCTTCTTTTAATAAGACAGCAGTTAAGTCATCTCTACACCCCGTGTATCGCTTGCAGTAATTACTAAGCCGATACGCTTTAGCCTTCGAAGTTTAATTAAGTCACGTGAGCCCTAGCAATTATAGCTCTTGTGGTTTTTTTGTGGGGAAGCACTTGTTATTGGGAACGTGGCGAGAAAGTAATCAAATTTTTCCTTGTTTATGGCGCTCCCTGCTGACAATTCCGTTGAAAATAAGATCTAGATATATCAGACAAGAAATTCGCGAAAACGACGCAGCCCAGATCAGATGTCGCAAAAGGAATACCCAAATAGATCTTCCCATTCTTCTCCAGGCAGGCAATTTATTTAAGTCCCGAATCACTTGAAAGGGTCATTTGTTACGAATACAATTGCAAGTAAACGGAATGCAATTAACAAACTGACAACGAATAACCCACCGAACATCTGTCTAAAGGTAAATTAAACAACGTCGGCTCGACCAATCACAGGTTAATACGCAGCACTCCAGCGAATTGCGGAGACGTGAACCAATATAGCCCGAAGGAATCATGGTGCTATTCATTACCACTAATATGATGCGTTGCCTAATTATAAAAGCAATTGAAATGTTTGCTCGCTCTGAAGAACCCATTATTGCGTTTTAGCTGAGTTAAATAGCCGATTCGTACGCATGCGCGTAAACAGAACCACATTAATTTTCAAGCTTGTCGTGCGAAAACTTCTCCTGCTTTGCTCTCGAAATTACGGTATTTGAAGACGCAAGATCGGATTTTACACGACTCGGAACGACACCAGGTAGTTGCCACATGTTCTTGTGGCAGATAAGATAAATGGCAAATTGGCTTGTCATGGTTATAGCAATAAATTGCTCGCGGCGGGACAGAGACTAGAGACGTATCTTTCACAAAAAGCCGAACGCATCAGGGTTCCTTGGTCCGAGTTATTAAATTTTTGGACCGCGTTGGTAGACACAGCTAGACGTGTTAGCCTTTTTATTGTCATTATTTCATTCAAATTGATGGCTTGGTCAAATGTGTTTTGTGTTCCGTTTTACATTTGGCCGTACTTCATTTGGCAGTCAATTTTCGCGACTTCCATGTCAAGCTAGACTACTTATCATTGCAGTTCCTGATCAGTTATCGTCCTTATTCCTTCCTTCCTTCTTTCATGTTGCTACAGTTGACTGTGGCAGTTTCCCACGGGTTCATTTGTGTAATTTATCGGACAACCCGAAGTTTACATAAGGCGGGACAATGCTTGTCTTGTCGTATTCTCTCTATACTTGTCACCAAGTGACGGTCTTTACCCTCGCTCCTTGTGTGTGTGTTTTATATCGCGGTCTATAGATGACTGTTCCTCAGCCAGCCCGCTTATTTAAGCTCTAGGATCATCCGGACTAGTGCTTTATAAATTAAAAACTTGAGTTTAGGCGAACGCCTCGGCAATTAGGACGTACACAAGTGCTTTTCAGACAACTGTGAAAACAAAAGCATTGTAAATTAACTTAGCTTAAGTCAGCCGTTCCTGCGATTTGTACTTTAATTCCGTAATCTTCGAATTCCTTTGAGCTAAAACTTTAATACCTCACTACATCCATGAGTGGAATTGTTCACTTCCCGAATTATAGATTCAAAACTGTCTATAGCTTTCAGTTTAAACAGGAAAAAACACTGGCGCTGATGGCCAGTCATAATGCTTTTAATCTTGTCCCGTTATTAAACGTTTTTAAGGTATTTTTTCCATTTTCATTCCGGAGATTGAAAGAGTGATTTTAAGTCCTTGCTACCTTTAACAAGAGGCTAGATGGCCTCTAAGAGGAGTAAAAATCGATAGATTTTTCGCTTTGTAAATAACTCTACGGGTGTCGTGAACTTCCAACTGCGTCGAAATTTTAATTGAATTCTTGTATAAACAATGAAATCCACGGCACGTGCCTATAACATCATCAGCAATGCTAATCCAGGACCTCTCTGTGAACATGAAGGCACGGAAGACATTAACATGGCCTCCAGCGTGGGTTTAATATTCACTCAATTTTTGCCTAGATACAGCTTAGCTCGGCAAAGCTCTCTGGCGACTCTTGGCTCGTTTGCGCCAAGCAAGTAGTATTTACATAAATAATTAAGTCTTTAGAAAGTGTAAATACCATCTTTATTGCCAGAGCAAATAGGGAAAACTAATTGTCCGTTGAAGGCGTGTGATTGGTCAAAATCTGAAGTTTCTGTAATTATTGGCTAATAGATGTTCTGACTTTGGTGAGTGCGGTATGGCTAAGTATAATGGACTCTCATTGTTTCGTTTTCCATTAGAGAAATTTAATCGCATGCTGACATCCTAGGGATTTTTTGCCTTCAAATAGCCGAAAGGAATAATGAAAAGTCAATTAGAGTGCACGTGAAAAATTACCTCGACGTAAAACGCGCTAAGAAAAGCTTTTAGTGTATCTGCAAGTTAATGGAGGGCACCCTTACTTTTCTTTCCAACTGAGGAAAAAACATCGGTCCAGAAATAGTTTTTCTGGTATTACGAGATCAAAGCGCTCTGTTAAAATAAAAAGTGCCTGTTTCACCGTCTTTTGACACTTAAACAGTTCCACCTACATTTTGAGTTTCCAGTCTTCACTGAAATCTGCTAAACATGATTTCAAGATATTTCTTGTTGAATTGAAAAGGGCCGAGGGTCGCTAAAGCGAAAACTAAATTTTACTGATAAAATATATACAACACTCTGCCGCGATATCCGTCGCTTAACTAGCAGTCACACATTAATGATAGTTGTTTTGTTAACGTTCTTTGTTCGCGGGTATTAGCCAATGAGAAAACGTGGCGACAAGATACACTACATTGTGGACGTCAAAACTGATGCCAAGGGCCCTTGAGGATCTTGCGAGCAATTTTCTCTGAAGTGTATACTTTCTGGTGTTAAAAGCCCCATTATGGCGGCTACGTACGTCAAAGAAAATAAATGTGGTGCCCCTAAGGCTGATGCTTGTCCAATTAACTTGAAATTTTGCCGCCCTAATGGATCTTGAGTTAATGGCTTGGCTAACTGACAAGGTGATATAGCACTCCGGTTTGGGCTTGACGAAAAAACTGATATGCCTTTCCAGTACAACCGCTGCCGCAAAATCTTATATCAAAAGTGCTGCTAATTCTGGGTAAAACCCGCGCTATAGCTTCATCGGCCCAGAAAATCAAGCAGGTTGCCATTAACAACGGGTGATCGAGAGTCTTCGATCTTGTTGATTGGTTTTTGAGTGCGATCTTTCTCGTGCCGTATTTAGAGGACGATAAGGTGTATTGCGTTATTTTTTAATGCGGATAATTCCGAAGACTGGAGTATTTTTCAGTCACTATGACAGCTCAACCAAAACCTCTTTAGGAACTTGATGCACCTAAACCGTTCGCGAAAATTGCCGCGGTTTCTAGCCTGACTTGTGTTCAAAGTGGCCTCTTTCGATTCAGTCGCTGACACTAATAAGCCTTTAATGTTGTGTCGGTTGTGAAAAGTTATGATTCGAAACTTAATAGGATCTTTATAGCATCTGTAAAGGAAGCCGCATTTAGCGTTTTGTTTCTTTTTCAATTTTATAAACGAGCGATTGATACAAATAAAAGAAAGAAGAAGTATAGATGGCGCTTTACGATTGTGTTGATATTAAGTCATGGCTTGCCACATAATAGCAGCTCTAAGCTTATCTAATTCGGCCGTAGTGATTCGTTCTAATATCTCGCTTTTCTAGCCAAGTTAATGTAATTTCAAAGTTTACCTTCTGCGAAGTCATGTAGATCGTCCATGTCGCTGAGAGTCGACTTTCGTTACTTTGTGAAACTTGTGTCAACGACGAAAGGAAACTCTCTCCAATTCAGTGGAGCGCACGTTGGGACACAAAGCGCACACGAGATCGGCGATATCAAAATGGCGCCAACGACACAAGCTGGCTTATTCTTATTCATTGGCCATTAAAAGGCGTTTTGAGACACTTCAATTGCAAACTGGTTTGATGACATGTCGACTGCCTGCCCTACACATGGCACTTAAAACCTCTATTAATTAACAACTCGCCCGTGATATTCGTTCTCAAGGCATTATTTGCATGCAAATTAGCCAAAAGGACAACACAGCTGTAAATAGCGTATATGTTGACGGCCTAGGCCAAGACTAAGGTGCTAGTTTGTGTTGTGTCAAATAAATTTTCACGGCAATTGTAAGCTGAAGGCAACATATACGGGACTGACGAGACATATTGAACGCGGCGACAAAAGTAAAGTACCTCACATGCAAGGAGAGTCAATGAAGTTTTGAACAAAAAATATATTCCCCAGTTTTAATTAAGTATCCATTAGGAAAAGTTCCGCATTGCCCTTAGTAATTTAAACTAGTATATTCTGCAAGCACTAATTAACAAAACTCCGTTATTTATAACAAGAGACCTTGGGTAAAAAAAAGGACACATTGTTTTTTGTGTCCTATTTTTGGACGCTCGAATAGCTTTTACAAAACTGACATGGAAGAAAAACAATAAAGATAATAGCTTTTACCTAACAAAATGATTACGAGCTATTTCTTGCTGAAAGTAAAAAAAATATATTGCATATATTTCTTAACCTGCTCGTCTTATATATTTTTTTTGTTGTTGGCGAAAGTAAGTTGAATGGAGGAAGGTTCCATTAAGGAAATGTCGTGTATCTAAAGAACGTTTAAAAAGTTACCAGGTAAAAACCCTGTAAGTAAACGTCAAGTCGCCAAAAAAAAGACCATTATTTGGTTTTTGACACTGACTGTACAACTTTTACAATGTTGAACAAACTCTCTCTTTTATTTATTTCAGTTCAAACAAGGGGAACAATCGAAATGGGTTGATAGAGTCGAAACCCTCGGTGAAAAAATAAACGATGAGGATTAAACCAACAATAAACACACGTGAATCGAACTGAATACCTCACTTGTGTCTTTTTTAATCAGGCTACCAGACAAAGAAATGTGTTTAAAATTGAATTTTAACATCACAGCTGCTGGCGATCCAGACCTCACTGTTCAAAAGTTATTTACATTATTTTACTTTATAATTTATTTTTTTCCCTCAAAACGTCAACATACAGCACCAGTCATCCGGGTAATTCAAATTAAAGACATGATGCAACGAAACATTGCTAAATTCTCTCAACTCGTGCTGTTAAGAGGTGTGAAAACACCAAAGGAGAATTTCTATCTTGGCATCAAGGCTTGAAGGGCTTGGGACTTTAATGCTATCGTTACTTGGACGGTTTTGGAGTATACCCGACGTGAACTTCAACCTTAAAGTATCGTTTCTCTTTACACCCCACCCCCTGTTTCTTCCCCAGACGGCCAACCCAACCTCTGTTTTGTTGTTATAGATATCCATAAGTCTATCAATTATTTGGAATAGGCGTCGCCCCCTTTCACCCCCTACCCCCTCCCGCCGCTTCCCTGTACTCGAAAACAAATAAACCTCCGGTGGCTTTATAGAGAGGAGATTTGTCGTCTCGTGCTTGGTGTAAATTATTATTGCATTTTTCTGGCGGTACATTCACATAGTTAAAAATATTTGAATATATAGATATATCTTTTAATCTGGCGTTTTAAAGTAGGTCATTTTGGTACCGGAAATGCGTTAAATTTTTTCCTGGCTAGTGAATATAAGGAATCAAGAATACAATCTGTGATGTAGACGAAAATGACCTTTAAGGGCTCGTAAAAATATTGATCCGCAATAAAAACATTTTTAGCGAAAACAAATGTGGCTATCACTTGAGTTGAGTTCCGTCAATTAGTTTCCTGCTAATGAAGTATGAATTTAATTTACGACTGACAGAGATGAGGGATTTTTTTTTTCGACTATTTCCTTATACTAGTAATTTGAAGAAAGAATAAACTAACCACCAGTAACATTTGTCATTTCACATGTGCTCTTAAAAAAGCCACTTGAATGAAAGAGCTAAAAGACTACACGAAAATAAAGAAAGACAGACAGGATTGTTGGAGAGACACCGCCTTTCAGATGAGTTCCGTATCTCTGCAGTTTTGCTTTTTTTATTGTTATCTTTTTGCTGTGTTTTTTGGTTTTCATTTTCAGGAATCGTCAGATACTCATCATTTTGTCTCGAAATTGCCTTACTAGTATATTTATTTTTATCGCAACGTTGTGAATTTAATGGCACATCAAGACAATGTCTCGTAGTTAATGGTTTTCCTCCATCTGGTCACCAGTTAACTTGACAATAAGGCGAACGGAGTCGATATTGAACACTCATCACATGGAAGACTCAGTTGCTTAATGGTTTTGCAGGTTTCGCGTTGGACTAAAGATCTTAGGCCTTTGGGGCAAGACTTCTTTTCTCCCTTTCACCATGCAAGACGTTGACTACTGACAAAATTTTACGGCGCTACCTGCGATCCCATCCCAGATGTCGAGTAGAACCTCAACATAAACCGGAGTTTCACACAAACCGACGAGGAACAGACTTAATTTTGTCAGTTTGAATGTTAAATTATTTACCTATCTCTAAACTGCCTCGTGAATAGCGGTTGCTTAGAGACTTCCCACTCAAATATTTACTCTCAACGCGCCAAAAACATCTACTAGCATGCAATGGGGCATGCGCAATTCCAAAACACTTTCCACTGATTCTCCCTAATTCAGCTTTGATCGAACTGTTGCAAATGAAATTCATTTTTTTGTAATCTTATTCATTTCTGTATAGAAGTGAGAAGAATTTATTTGTTGTCATTGACACAAAATATCGTACCAGACCTCACATGTTTATTGTATTACCGCCTTGGGAGTTAATTAATTTCTGCTCCGCGAGGCCAAGGGCACAAAAAACGGAATTATACAGTGCTACAAAACATAAATTTCGCTGTTAAAACGCTTTTAGATTTTTCTTCGCTATCTCATGACTTACTTGTGGCTGACTGTTCTTCCGAGATAACTGGATTTCTCATTATCTTATCTTAGTCAGGTATTCCTGATCTTATTTACAAAAGCTATGTGAAAAGACAGGTTTGTCGTGTGCAGGGTAATTTTCAAGCTGTGTCAATTCTTCGAGAATTAAACCCTCATACTAACAAAAAAAAAATT